AAACAAATAACAACAACAAACATAAAATATAAAATACAAACAATGATGAAAATGCTGGTTGAGAGTATGAGTGTGGAAAACCTAATGTGGAACAGAGTGGTGGCTTGGAGACTTAAAAGTCTTTTCACCTGAAGCAGCAGATAATCTGTTAAATTTGGAATATTGGTCGAAAGGCCAATTATAATCATGAAACACCTGTTTAGAGACAGAAGCTTGATACTTGCAGTTTCCCGGGTGCAGCAGCGTCTGGAGTTGGGAGACGAGGCCTTCAGCTTGAGTTGGATCAGGGTGTGGCAGTTGAAGTTGCTACATTGGACCAAAGTGAGCAGCTCTCCTGCAGTTAGGGAATGCCCCTGCTTTTCGGGTGAAGAGGCTTTTTAATAGTAAAACTACTGACCAATCACAGCGAGCTCCGCTCCCAGGGGGGCTGTTAGATATGACATCCCAGTATCACAGAGAGGTCATGACGTGGTCATGAGGTGATCAGAGTTTTGCTCTGAAAGTAACAATGTTCCTTCAGAACTATATGTACTTTCAATTATACAAAGTTAAGCTTGTTGGAAATGAATGTGTCACATGTAGAGCTTCATGGGGAGTCTAAACATGATAAACCTATCTCGGACGGTTACAGAGATAACACAATGCTTAGGATATGGTTATATAACAAGCTGATAAATTAAAGAAGGACTTATCCAACTGTAATTAAGCTTTGAAGTATTTATCAGGACATGATATACCATAACATTTAACAACTAAACTTAACATAAGATAATAAGGCACATCCTCTGGTGCTGTGTCTTCACTGTTCATTCATAAGTTCAGTTGTTAAGTTCAGTTGTTGCATGCCACAGGAAATGGGGGGTCAGCAAAGCAATACGTTAAGGCCGGGGCACTTCATTGCACCCGGCCTTTTGGGCCATTTGTTAAGGTCTGCGTGGTTGGAATGTTTTTTTTGTCTTCCCCCAAAAGTTTCTTTGTGTTAGATCCTCTGAAGCTCTGATAGGTGTGATAAGGGAATTCCTAAGTGGGCTCTGCTTCCTCTGGCTTCGGCTCCTCCGAGTCTGCAGAGCTGATTTACATGGCCCTGTGACCTGCAGGATAGTTCTGTCTTTTTTTTTTATGGCATGTGACTTGGGTGCTGGAAAGTTCAAATTAAGTTTTTTGAATCTTTTTGGGCATCTGTGTCTGTCCATATCCTACATGGTGCATAGCCACCTCTGCACAGACGGTCAAAAGGTGATAAGATCTTGCAGGCTCCTCCGCAGTGACCTCTTTCGACCCAGTAAAGATGCGTCAGCTGCAGTGTGCCTTGAGCATGCTTGAAGAAATGTTTCTCAAAATCCTTGTCTGGGCCAGGTGCTCCTCTGTAGTATATTGTGCAGTGTAATTCGTCTGCTGGTATGACGTCTGCAGGCATCTGCCACTTGGGTTGTGATCTCTTGTGCCAATTTAACTAATTCTTTATTGATACCGCCCTCGCCCTTGTTTTGCAGGTCCAAACTGTACCAATAGTGTGGCTGTCCAGGTTCAAAGAGAACATTTTGGCATGTCATTCTCATAGCTCTCATGCCTTTGCGGGTTGGAACAACACCAATTTACAGTTCCTCCAGCAGATCTCTGCCCAACAGGTTAACTGGGCACACTGAGGATAACAGAATTGCTGTGACACAGGATTTTCCTGTCTCTGGGTCAATTATTTTCAATGGTTCTGTGTATTGTTCCATATGCAAGTTCCCATTTGCTGTTTTTACCAACACTTTTTCACCTGTGTCTTTCATGTTTGGGAATTCTTTTTGTTTTATCACAGTTGAGGCAGCACCTGAATCACACAAGAAAGTCATTTGTTTGCCTCCCACATTTAGTTGCACTTTGAGTTTTACATCTAGTTTGAGAATTTCACATGCTGTTCCATAATGTGCTTCTATTTCAGTCAAACTTTCAGTTTCTGCATTATAGGAGCTATTTTCCTGCTTCCACATCTCAGATTTTGTAGTAGGCATGTGGTCGGTTAGTCACGCGCTACTTTCTCCTTTGTGGCAATCTCTGGCATAATGGCCTGTTCTGTTGCACTGATAGCATACGTCATCTGACTGTGGTTTTCTTGGCCCTCGTCTTTGAGCTCCTCTACCTCTGCCTCTGCCTCTACCCCTTCCTCTGTAGTTTCCTGCAGGTCTGTCAGCCCAGTAAACAGTCATTGGTGGGGCTGAGGGCATGGCTGGAGCTTCACTATAGAATGTTTCAGGGTTTGTTGGTTGTTGAACTTGAACCTTAAAACATCTTTCATAGTTTTCAGCATATTGCAGCACATCGGCTAGTGAGTCTGTACAATGTGTTACCATATGTTTACGTACATAGCTAGCTATTTGGGGTTTAAGGCCCAATTGCATTCTTTAACTGCTGCTCATAGCGGCCTGTTGGATCCACAGCTGCTGGTGGCTTCAGTTCACTATGTGCATCAAACACCTGTTGGAGTCTCACTCAAAATTTTTGAACTGACTCTCCTGTATCTTGGGTGGTTTCACTGATTTTGGTCCAGTCTGGGCGGGACTGGAATGTGTTTCTGTACGCTGTCAGGACCAGATCTATCGCTCCCTGTAAGGCAACGGAATCTGGGAGCATTGCAAGTCCTGCAGCAGTCATGCCAGTATAAGATCCTCAGACTCATTAACTTTGTGATTGGTGATGACTTCAGCTACTTTTTTCATATCATCTAATGTCCATGGACGGAAAATGCACATGGTTCGCGCCTGGGGTTATTCTGCTGTCCCCTGGATTGGATTTGGAACTTCAATCATTGGGCATTGTGGAATTTCACTCTGTTGTGGTTGAATTTGTGGTTTATCTTGAGCCCAAAACATTTCTTGCCCTGAAGCAAATGGATTAGTAATTTTGCCTATCCTTGATCTTGTGTGGCCCAATATTGGCAAGTTTAATGGACCAACATTGCTCAATATATTTGTAAATGTTGATGGACTGCTTGCCTGATCTGACAACTCAGGGTAAATGTGAGGGACAGGTGGAGCAATGGGGTAAGGCTGTGCCTGCACTTTGTGTACTCCCCCCACAGCTCCCTCCTTTCGTTCGTTTTGTGGCGCTGGCTGATCTTCCTGCTCCTGCTGCAGCTGGGCGGGGCGTCCCCTCGCCTGGCTGACAGCATTTATCTCTTCCTTGTCCTCCAACAACATTTGGTCTCTCTGTTTTTGTCTCTTTTTTTTTGTCTCTTTTTTCTCTTCCTTCTTTTTGCTTCTTTGCTTGTTAAAGCCATTGACTTGCTTCCTGCCAGCTGTCCTTTTTTTTTCTTTTTCTTTTTTACATTTTTCTTAATGTAGTTCACCTTCAAAATCGTATTTCTTTTGCCATTTTTTAAAGTGTTTCATTAATTTTGGATTGATCTGTTGCATGCATTTGGCATCTCCTGTGGGTTTACTCCAACAACATCCCATTTTGCATATGGTATTTTCCTTTCCTTAATTAATTTTTTTATTTTATTGTTTTATTTTATTGTTTTATTTGTCTCTACCCTCAACACTTCTTTAAACAGTACTGTTAATGGTTATAGTCCTACCAGACTTCTTGCAACGGCAACAAGTCCTGTTGTGACTCTCTTTATTGCAGACTTACAGTCCTGTCTGACTTTTTAAAAATTTAACGCAGACTTATAGTCCTGTCCAACTCTGGTAGTTTTATCACTATTCCCCTAAGGAATCTAAGGAACCCAGTTCCCCTCCAGTAGCCAACCAGTTTGTATGTAATTCAACCGAGCAACTGGTCCGATCAGTGAAACCTTTGCTTCGTTGCCACCGTTAGGTATCCACAAACCAGCAGGTTGTTGCCACCGTTAGGTTACCCCTGCTAGTTAGTTTCACTGAGACACTGCTGAATAACTACCTCCCAAACTTTAAGTGCTCCTTGGAAAGAGACAAATAAAACCAGGCCTACCTTTGACTTGTGACAACTCTTAACTTGTTCTTGAAATCCCGTCACCCTTCTCTGGACAGCGGTGGCTGGCCTCTCTGAACGTCTGGTGTTGCTGGGGACTTTTCTGGTGTTTTTGAGACTCTGATGTGAAAACATGTATTGTTCTGCAATTACAATTTACAAAGGTCAATCAAAAATTCAGAGAAGTGCACTGTCATGGGTCAGGATGGCACATGACAGTGCAACTTCACCAGTCATGATCCTCAACATTAAGGTTTGGATCGTCTCGGTTGCTGACTGACACAAACTGTGATGTTTTCTTCGGCGCTCTAGTTTATGATGAAAGGCCTATAGTAAGAAGAACAATGTTATTTTAATTCCACTTGTCTCCCCTGCTTCCATTTCACAAATTCTTCTTCAAATTCAAAATGAACAGATATTTTTCTCAAAACAAATCATTTCTCAGTTTTAACATATTATATGTTGTATTTATACTGTTATTATATGTTACTGTCTTATAAATATGGAGATCATTAACAAATCATCATATTCTGTTTTCATTTATATTTTACACAGCTTTCCAAAGTACAAAAATGTGGTGTGATGTATCTGTGAGATTCTACTGCTGAAAATGACGTAGTCAGCTGATGGTTTTACTGAAAAGACACATTCCTCTGTTGGAATAGTGGGAACTACAGGAACACTTAGCCCACTCTGACTGTACAAGGGTGTTACGGAGGGATGCTTCTGCCTCAGCATCACTTTTGCTGAGTGCCGACAGCAGCGTAATACCAGAGCAAGTATCTCCACCAGATTACAGAGAGAAAAAAACATTTTGTTCTGCCTTCAGTTTAAGTAATGGATTTCATGTTAATGAACTGCAAACGATTTTACATGCAATTTGTCATTTTAACTGACAATTAGCACTGGCTACAAATGCAAAGTTCCTCCCTGAATGCTTTGTACACTAAGCTTTGGTAACAAGAGGACAGAGTCAAGAGTCATTCACACTGGTGTATCTAAATAATTTGTCACATTTGTATGTTGTAAAAGTAACTCGCATATTTTAGTAACATTTACACATTGTAAAGCTACTATGTATGTGGTTAAAATTATTGGCTCAAATGTGTAGTTTTCTGTAATCATGACAGTATCCTTTTTCTTTTGTTTGTTTATCCTAACAGATGTACAACAGCAACACATATGTGTGGAGGAGGAGGTTCTTGCTGACCAGCTGCTCTGTTACCAAAGTAGGAATCTAAGTCAGGACCAGGAGGACCTAGAGCCTCCACAGATTAAAGAGGGACAGGAGAAACTCTGCACCATTCTGAACCAGGTAGACCCTGAACTGCAACAAATTAAACAGGTGCAGGAGGAACTCTGCACCAGTCAGGAGATACAACAAATTTTTGTGAAGCAGGAGACTGATACCTTGATAGTGACTTCTACTTCTGAGGAGAGCGACCACCATGAACCAGAACCGAACAGTGACCAGCTCCTCTTTCGCAAATTTCCTGTAGCTGAGAGGCCAAAATGCCAAATTACAGAACATCACACATCCCACACAGGTGTGAAACCACATGCCTGTAAAACATGTGGGAAAAGCTTCAACTGACATGCTAATGTATTGACCCACATGAGAACACACACAGGAGAGAAACCATATTCTTGTGAAACATGTGGGAAAAGTTTCGCTCAAAGTGGTAATTTGTTGAATCACATAAGAACTCACACAAGAGAGAAGCCGTATTCTTGCAGCACATGTGGGAAGAGTTTCAACCTAAGCAGTCGTTTGACTGTACACTTAAGAAGTCACACAGGTGCGAGCCTTATTCTTGTGAAACATGTGGGAAAAGTTTACCTCAACATGATCGTTTGTTGCACCACATAAGAATTCACACAGGTGAGAAGCCTTATGTTTGTGAAACATGTGGAAAAAGTTTTACCCAACATGGTTGTTTGTTGCACCACATGAGAACTCACACAGGGGAGAAGCCATTTTTTTGCAACACGTAGAAAAAGTTTTTGTCGACGTGAACATTTATTGTCCCAGATGAGGACTCACACAGGTGAAAAGGCGTATTCTTGTAAAGCGTGTGGTAAAAGTTTTACTCAACACTGTCATTTGTTGAGCCACGTGAGAACTCACACAGGGGAGAAGCACTATTCTTGTGAAACTTGTGGGAATAGCTTTAGTCAGCATGGTCATTTGACTGTTCCCATGAGAATTCACTCTGACGACAAATTGTATTCTTGTGAACCGTGGGAAAAGTTTTAATCAACGTGGTAATTTGTTCTACTACATGATGACGCACACAGGTGAGAAGCCTTACCCCTGCCACACATGTGGGAATAGATTTAAATATGCATCGTCACTGAAAAATCACATGAGAACTCACGCAGGTGGAAAACTGTAGTCCTGAAGCATCTGTGGAAACCAACTTGAAGAAATGTGTAAGAATTTGTTCAGGTTCAAAGTAGATCTTTCTTATCTAAAGTGCCTTTCAACTGTGTTGTAACACTAATTCTGTGAGTTTGTGTATCACACTGTGAGAGATGGGTCTGATAAAATCTGTCAAACTGTTCATTGGGTATATGCAGACTTTTATAGAAGCACATTGCATTTGCAGAAGAAATACAACTGTGCAGTAACACGTGTAACATGTGCAACAATAGCAAATGAATTCCAGAGGCCTTACTAATGTTTTAATTTAACAATTCAATGTACAGAGCCTTCATGTCTCCATATTTTTCTTCAGATAAGTTTGCTCAGATCAAAGTACACTGCTGTAGCACACTTGAAATGTAGCTTTGTAATTGCTGTACTAATGACAAAAATTGAACCAGTACAAAGACACACCAGTATTTTTGTCAACTTCTCTTTTGTCTGATAGGAAAATATTGATGATATACTGCTCAAAAAAATAAAGGGAACACCTAAACAACACAATGTAACTCCAAGTCAGTCACACTTCTGTGAAATCAATCTTTCCAGTGAGGAAGCAACCCTTACTGTGAATCAATTTCACCTGTTGTTATGCAAATGGCCCAGACAACAGGTGGACATTAGAGGCAACTAGCAAGACAACCCCTTTAAAGGAATGGTTCTGCAGGTGCTGACCACAGACCACTTGTCTGTTCTCATCCTTTCTGGCTGATGTTTTGGTCACCTTTGCATTTTGTCAGTGCTCTCAGCCCTAGAGGTAGCATGAGGTGGTGTCTACAACCCTCAGAAGTTGCTCAGGTAGTGCAGCTTATCCAGGATGGCACATAAATGAGAGCTGTGGCAAGAAGGTTTGCTGTGTCTCTCAGCACAGTGTCCAGACCATGGAGGAGACACCAGGAGACAGGCCAGTACAACAGGAGATGTGGAGGGGGCCATAGGAGTGCAACAACCCAGCAGCAGGACCACTACCTCCTCCTTTGTGCAAGGAGGAACAGGAGGAGCACTGTCAGAGCCCTGCAAAATGGCCTCCAGAAGGCCACTAATATGGATGTTTCTGCTCAAACTGTCAAACAGACTACATGAGGTTGGTATGATGGCCCGACGTCCACCAGTGGGGCTTGTGCTTACAGCCCAACAGGGCAGGGCGATTGGCATTTGCCAGAGAACACCAAGATTGGCAGATTCGCCATTGGCACCCTGTGGTCTTCATGGATTAGAGCAGGTTCACACTGAACACACGTGAGAGACGTGACAGAGTCTGGAGACGCCGTGGAGAACATTCTGCTGCCTGCAACATCCTCCAGCATGACCGGTTTGGCGGTGGGTCAGTAATAGTATGGGGAGGCATTTTTTGGAGGGCCGCACAGCCCTCCATGTGAATCAGAATCAGAATCAGAACTTTATTGTCATTGCACATGTCACAAGTACAGAGCAACGAAATTACCAGTTACATCCCGTTCAAGAAACATAAAAAGACAGTGACCAATAACAGGGGGAGACAGGAGGGAGAAACATGTCGGGACAGCGAGCGTGAGCAGCGCCCCTTATTTTAGAAAGGAAAACAAAAGGAAAAACGGGCAAAAAAGGCAATTCCCAAACTAGGCTCCTCTAGGGGGGGTACAGTGTGGGATTAAGAAAAAAAACACCTCAGCACATAAGCAATGTAATGAAACATCAAAACAAAACTCAAGACTTGCACATGTGGGAAGGGGAAGGGTGTTGGGATGGGGAGGTGTCACAGCTCAGACACTGGGGGGAGCGCACAGCCAAGCGGCGCATCACATCAACCTGCAGTCTACTGCACTGTAAAGAGGGAGGGAGAGGGGAAGGGGAGCCAACCAGGCGTTGAGTCCAGGGGATGTGTGTGTTGTGTGTCTTCGTGTATGTGGATGTGTAAGCCCATGGACTTCATCGCCGTTCAGACTCAACATTGTCTCTGCCGTCTGATGCTGGTGACGAGACACGGCCATTGCCAAGGAGACGACCTCGATGAGTTCTGATCCAGAGACAAAGTTCACAGGAGAAGGAGGGGGGTGGGGGAGGGGCCGAGCATCTGTCTGCATAACATTCAGGAGAAGTAGAGAGCTCACATCAATAGTTAATTCTTCTAAACCAGCAACATGTATGTTGGACGCCATTCCCACTAGACTGTTTAAGGAGATCTTTCCTTTAATGAACAGTACAGTGTTAGATATCATCAACTTCTCCCTACTAACAGGCTACGTACCGCAGGCTTTTAAAGTTGCTATAATAAAGCCACTTCTAAAAAAGCCTACTCTAGATCCGGGTGTTTAGCCAATTACAGACCAATATCCAACCTTCCTTTCATCTCAAAAATCCTTGAAAAGGTCGTGGCAAACCAACTATGTGATTATCTGCATGTAAATGGTTTGAATGAAGAGTTTCAGTCAAGATTTGGAATCCATCATAGTACAGAGACAGCACTGGTGAAGGTCACTGACGATCTTCTTCTAGCTTCAGATAGTGGACTAGTGTCCGTTCTGGTTCTATTGGATCTCAGAGTGGCATTTGATACTGTTGATCATAGCATCCTATTACAGAGACTGGAACATGCGATTGGACTTAAAGGGACTGCACTGAACTAGTTTAAATCATATTTATCAGACAGATTCCAGTTTGTTCATGTTAATGATGATTCTTCCAGCCGCACCAGAGTTGCTTATGGAGTTCCTCAGGGTTCTGTGTTAGGACCAATATCATTTACTCTGTATATGCTTCCGTTAGGCAACATTATTAGGAAGCACTGCATATATTTCCATTGTTATGCAGACGACACCCAGTTATATTTATCTATGAACCCTAATGAAATCAATCAGTTACTTAAACTCCAGGCATGTCTGAAGGACGTAAAGATCTGGATGACCTGTAACTTCCTTCATTTAACTTCAGACAAAACTGAGATTATTGTATTTGGCCCTAAACACCTCAGAAACTCACTATCTGCCCAGATAGTTACTTTAGATGGTATCGCCTTAGCATCTAGTTCCACAGTAAAGAACTTCGGGGTTACTTTTGACCAGGATATGTCCTTTAACTTCCATATAAAACAAACATGTAGGACAGCTTTCTTTCATCTTCGTAATATTGC